GTTCCTTGACCCACGCTCTCCCATTTTCCCCTTGGATGTCAGAATCACCTTGAAGGAAGAGGAGAACTTGCTGGCTGCAATCTCATGGTGTCATTTGTGCAATTGCCACCACCGGCTGCCACTGCTGCTAAGTGCCACGGGATCGTTCAAGCTCTACCTCAATGGGCCTCCCACAGAGCTTGAAGAGGGAGAGTGAGATTTGATGTTGTACTCGGCAGGAAGAACCGAACACACAGCACTTCTTCACTCCTCCCTCCGGTGGGCTGTGTTGCTGTCCAAGAACCGGGAACTACTTTCTCACCTCCAAATGTTGTAAATGAGATGCAGTGCCCCTGATTCTAATTCCATTAAAAAGTGCCACACCAGATGCACACAGCATTCCTTGAAGAACTGAGGAGGAGAATGCTCAAACCAAAAGAGCCTTCCTCTGATGGGAAATGCTGCTTGTTTGGGATACTTCCTGAAAAGAGTCTGTAGTCAGAGAAGTGTGGCTGCCTGTGCAGCTCCCTGTGCTACTTTTCCTTTGCACTACCCTACAACAGCAGAGCTTCACGCCTTTCACTGCAACAGCCAATATTTTGCTTTTTTCTGTACCCTTATATCTTCCTGCACATCGCAGCAAAATGGAAGGGAGGCACATTTTCTTCAGAATGACACAATCTGAACTCATTCATTGAAACAAGTGGGATGATATTTGGCCAAATTTCAAGCAGATACTATAAGGTCAAAAACTTCTGCAGCCAAAACCTGACTCACATTTTTGCAGTTATGTCACTCCTCACACAAGCAGTTAATGTGTTTGCATTCTGCCTTGTCTTCTCCCATTTCTCACACAGACATGCTGGCTGTTTCTTTCCTGTGCCCCATCCCTCACCTTTGTGCTCATAGAAATGCTCTCCTTTTCCTTATCCCCCATCACCACCCCCCTCAAGATCTCAAATGTGTGGCTGAAGGAGACAGGGAGCCAAATTCTGCTCTCGGTGTTAGATCTGGAAATCATTCCCCTGGCTTCACATTTATGCTAATGCAAAAAAGATGAGAATTTAGCTTTCTGTACTGTTGTCAACAGGGGAAAAATAAAGTCCCTATAAGACCGTATCCATAGAAACCATCCTGCTGCAATAGAAAGTAAAGCAGCAAATCAATCTCTTCAGTTTTAAAATGAAACCCATTTAACAACATTACAGTGCATCTGCTGTTGACGAGATCATCTGTGCTGATAACTCTGTTGAAAAGCCCTTCTGTACCATATAAGCTGGCATGAATATTTCTTCAGCCTGATAAAATTCAGATTTTGGGTAGAGCAGGCATTGATGAGAAAAACCCGTGAAGACAGGACAATGAAACAGAGCCAAGTCCAGCAGCAACAGTATTTAATGAGAGAGAAAATTGTTCAATTTAGCATTTAGCCCAAGTATCTGGGCACATGGTACTTAACACTCCAGTGTGGCAGCAGAGGCAATGACCTGTCCCCTCTGCCTTCCTGCTCTTTGGTTATGTGGGACCATATGTGACAAGCACTACATTTTTACTTTGCAATGCATTTTTCTGAGTGGGAGTGCATGTATGTGTGTGTGTGTGTGTGTGTGTGTGTGTGGCTGGTGGACTGTCAGATGAGATTTCAAGAGCTGCCTCAGTGCAAGACAATCCAGGCTGACTGCATTAGAAAGGTGCATGTTTCGGAGGCAGAGGCACTGCCAATGCAGTGCATGTGCTGGCTGTCTCTGCATTTTATTGTTTTTACATTTCATTCTGTCAGACTCGGGAGAGGACCTCTCTTCTATGCCATGGAGAATGCATGGGAATATATAGATGTACCATCCAGGCTGCAGACGTGGCACTGCATGCTGAGGGATTCTGCGTTCGTTTTTTCTCCAATTGAAAAATCTCTGTGGGCATTTTGAGAAATATTACTGTTCTTTATCAGACAATTGCCCATCCACAGAGGAGGAGGCACAGTTCTGCATTGCCTTTGCACTGAGCCTAAATCCTGCAGTCTCCGCCTTTCCTATGCTTTGCAGAAAGATAGAGGATATCTGTCTGGCAGAAATGCAGCCTTATTTTAGACAAAGGGGATAAAATTGAACAGGGGACAATTAAAAAGCATTACAGAAATTGCCTCGGCCGTGAGTAGCCCTTTTGTTGGTGAGGATCGGATACACATCCCTGTGTCACTTTGCAGTGTTGCTTCTAAATCTCAGTCCCTTGATAACAGCAATCACACACGCTGTCTCCTTTCGTCTACAGCTGCCCTATATATTATGGCAATCCCTCTTTGATGGAAAGTTATCTATTCTTTTCTGACCTGAGGGCAAGGTTATTCCAATACTCTCCATTTAGTGCCATCACTGAAACACATCCAAAAGCATCAACCGGTGCATAATGGTGCTGCTCAGCATCTGAATGAAATGAAAGCACATACCAAGTGAAGCACGCGTGCTTTTTGCTGCTGTGCCATTTCTAACAGGGAGTGGAAGATGCATTTCTCACCACCTTGTGTGGTAGAAATGGCTCCGTGGTCTGAAAGGCTGAGATTTTCACAGTTAGGAAAGAGACCCCAACACACTGCTTTAGGACAGGGTTCCACTGTTGAGGCAGAAGAGTTTCCTACTGGAAAGCAACTAGCTGAAAAGCAAAGATTGCAACTTGGTTTCCACGGTCAATAATTGACAAATCCAGGGATTCTACCCACATTGAGGGATAAAACACGTTCATTTCCTAAGTCCCAGACTTTCAATATTGAAGAATGATATTTCTGCCATTCATTGAACTTCTTACTAGAAATTTCCAATGCCTACTTAACCCTTCTGTATCTCCATATAACGATGCTGTTTACCATCAGAGTTCATGTTCCTGGTCAGATCAAACACGACTCCTTTGCAAATTTCTGCCTAAAAAAAGAAGCAGAAGAAGAGCGCAGACTGGCACTTCTCATACTGTTGTTCACCAAGGGGAGCAGCTCAGGGGACCAGGCATGGCTCAGGGAAACCCTGCACACCAGTTGGAGCAGAGAGAGTGGATGTGTTTGTTCCTGTGGGTGCAAAACCATGTGGAGATTGGGTGACAACACCCAGAGATTTGAATGGCTTTTGACATCAGCCTTTCCTCTACCTGTGATCAATGGCAAGTCGACCTTCCCTACCATGAGAGTCCATGGGAGGAGCACTGCTGGAGCTGCTTATTGCAGCTCAGAGGGCCAAAGCAGGGTGCTGGCTCTGGCTCTGGCCCTGCAAAGCAGTGAACCTCAGAGCATTCTTCATGCATAAGCTCCTAAGGTTTGCACAGTCATGTCCAGAGTAGGAGTGCTTCTTGATGATGCCTGTCTCCATGGATTCAAAGTTGACTCCATGTTTGCATGCTGCCCGTTGTACACCACCACCCCCATGGGTATAGCAAATACCCTGAGTCACCTTCTGAAAATAAACAAGATTTACAGCAGACCTGGAAGCCATCTGGTAGTGGAGGCAGGCGAGAAGACACTGGGCTGAAAAGCTCAGTGATGTGGCAGTGTTTCTATCTGTCACCATAGCCACTTCTTTTGACAAAGTTAAACGCCATTTTAATTATCGCATAAACACGTTTTCTGTAAGAAATTTGTAACAAACAGCAAGCCAGTAGTAAAATGTCTCCTTGGGATGAGACCTTTTCTCATAGTCACTTTACAAGCACACAAATCCCATCTATATTTAAAAATGCCATTCATTTTACCACTGGAGAGACCTCTACCACAAATCAGCGTACCTCTTTTGGACAAAACAATTATCTTCTGTCTGGACTCTGGTGACAGCACCCGAGCTGTGTGGTGTTCCTGACACTGTAGGTCGGAGCAGTGACGCAGTGCAGCCCTGCCCCGCTCTGCCCCTCGTGGTGCGTTCTGTGCTTTCCACCCAGCCGCTGCCCCGCTGCAGCACCCTGTGCACTAATGCAACAGACTGCAACTATCGGGCCTATACACAGCACCAGCTGTGACCACAACTTCTGAACATGCAACTGGATTATGTCTTAGTGAGGGATACTGAAGACTGACAATCTGCAGAGACTCCTGAAATCATCCTGCCGTGTCTTGGGAGATCTGAGTGGTGAAGGGCAGTTTCATGAAGATGTATGAAGCAAAGTGTGTGGCTTTCTCCCTAGGTTTGAAACTGAAAGGCTGCTTTGGGCTCATGCAGAGAGAAACACTGTCCTCCTTGTTTTCTGCTGCTTGAGAAGCCTTTGGAGGTGCCAGGGAGCAGTCACAATGCTGGTGAGCCAAGGCCAGCTGTGTTCCCTGGGTCCCTCTGTGCTGTTTCTTACTGCTGCCCCAGCCCTCCCCAGTCTCCCAACACCTCCTCCAAAGGCATCTTTTCGGCATGCAGCTGGTTGGTCAGATTGGTCCCCATGCTGTGGAAGTGTGGCTCGGTGTTTAAGTTATCATTAGGTAGGAAGAGCATTTTGTGACTTGGTGGTGAGAGTTCATGCCGAGGGCTTTCTGCACTCTGCGGCCAGGCAACCCCAATCCTGGTATTGTTTAAACACAACAGATCCAGGAGAAGGAAAAGGATAAGTTTTCACTGCTTCAACTCGTGTAAAGATTGCTGCCTCGGGCAGAAGGCTGAGCTTCATCTTTTGCGTGGGATTCGTAAGTCTCAGTGAAGGTGATGCTGCTGTACAGATTCCCTGGTTTGGGTTCCCTGGTTCCCTGGTTGGTTACATTCTGAACACTCTTACCTGCCTCACTGAAGTGAAAGCTAAGACCAGTGAAACTGGAAAATGGTGAGAACCCCAAGCACACGTCAGACTATGCAGCCATAGGTGCTCCTCTGTAAGAAGAGGACAGATGCAACCTGCTGCTCTCCGACCCCCGTGAGCACTCACCTTCTCAGCACGATGTGCTATGGGTGGCTGCTCCCCATCGCAGTGCTGTCTGGGGCTGCTGCCTCCGGGCAGGGGCACAGGGCAGCCCCTCCTGCCATGCAGCCCCAGGGCCCCGGGCTGTGCTGCTCAGCCCCCCAGGGCTGCGGGGCGCTGGGCAGGCTATGCGTGGCTGGTGAGGTAGCGGGAGCACCGGGGAGAGGTAGGAACGTGGGCCTGCTGAGAGCTGTGGGAACCGAATCGCCTGCACTGAGCTCAAACGTGAAGTCTTTTAAATAGGAGAGTGCTTTGTTATTTAGCTGGGCATATTCAAAATTGATCTTGCCCCTGGTGACTTCATCTAGGAATTTTGCTCTGCTTTTCTGCTCTTCAGAGTAAATTTTTTCCCTGTTTTGCTTCAAATTATACAGATTGCTGGCTTGGAGGCCTGTTTCATAATTGTATTGATTTGTGCAGGGAATATTGCAGTATTCTGGCTTTTGGTCAGTGCAGTTGCATTCATTTTGCAACAACAGCTTGTTTTTGTATTGAGACATCTTACAGATAATACTGTTCATGTCATTCCCAATGCAGTTGTCTTCCAGGTGCTTGTTGTCGTAGCTGATTTTTAACGATGCCACTTGTGTCATGCAGTGCTCCAAGAGCTGCACTATGCCAGCACTGCTCTCCCGCGGCGTGGGGCTGACGTAGCCCTGGAAATGTCCAAGCCCAAGAGGCTGCAGCAGCTCATCGCAGATGGACAAAGAGTGGTACATCACTTCACTTCTGTCCTCCCTCTCCAGAGGATCCAGGGGTGAGGTGGCAGCAGTCTTGTAGGAATAACAAGACTCTACGTCATGACTGTCGTTTAGCAAAGGGTTTTCAGAGCTCTGTGAGCCACAGTGTCTGCTCAAACCTTCTGTCAGCAGGTTTTCACCTCCTGGTGTCTGGCATCCCTCTGGCATCGTCTCCTTCTCATCCTCAGTTGAAGATGGATGTCTGTCGTCCCCATTTGCCTGTGACTGTGGTGCACAGTTTGATGCTTTGGTTTCTACAGTGCCAGGCACTGTAGGTGAGTCCTGGTGTTGGCACCCTGTCCTTCCTTGGAAGGCCACATTAGCTGTGTGAGTGTAAGAATCTCTTTCACCAACATTTTCTGAAGAGGTCTGGGTTGCAGCCTTGCCTTCATCCAAAAACACCCTCAGGTGAGATGAATTAGATTCTTCCTTGCTCTTTTTCTCCTGCTGAGCCTCTGTGCTAACTTTCTGCTCTGGGCTGGGACTGCGAGTGACCAGTGAGTCATTACACTTTTCTGTCTGCGATGTGGGACTCTGCAGAGAGTCTGGGGAAGAAACAAGTCCCGCGTGTTTTCGCAGCCAGTTTATTATCCCCATTGTTAGTGAAAGCTCAGTATCACAGAGCTTTAGCAAGCATTCTTTGCCTTTCCACGTGCTGTGGAAAAATCCTTGGCTGATAATGTCTATACCTGGCTGAGAAGCCATGTTTTCTTCAGCTCCAACATGAAAGCTGTAGATGGACAAGGGGATTTCAATGGCTTGTTCTGAAATGCTTTCAGATGTACACAAGTCATCATCCATGACCGGGTTTATTTTGACTTCGTTTGGGTCATAGAAGAGCTCATAAAGGGCATCTCCACTGTAGCTGTCTCTTGGAAATCTGCCTGGGACCCCAGGAGTCTGAGCTTCCTTCACTTCGTCATCTTGTCCAGGAGAGAATGAATCATAGTAGCCTTCATCGCTTGTGGATATGGATTCCTGGTTGTCACTTTTTGGCGTTCCGGTTTCTGTGGAGCTCTCTTTGGAATTGTCCCCATCTTTATCAGGCGGTGTCTGGGGCCTCGTGGCAGGTGCAGCAGCCTGGCCTCCAGCTTTTCCCCTTTCAGAACCGGGAACCTTCAGTACCTTCTTATCAAACAGCATGCTCTGATGCAGCCTCACTGATTTGTTAATGTTGTCCCAAAACTTTGCAAATTCAACGGCCTCATTCTGGCCAGGGGAGGCCAGCTGCTCCACACCACCCTGGAAGGAGCCCATGACGGGGCTCTCCTTGTGCTTGCTCCGTCTCACCAGGACTTCTTTGCTGCTCTCCAGCTCCAGGTGAGCAGAGCTCTCGTCAGCAAAGATTTCCCCGCAGCCAGTGAGGGAGTCAAAGCTCTTCAGCGATGCGACATCTTCACACAGAGCGTTGCAGCAGTCGTAGGAAGAGTCAGACTGCAGCTCGTTGTCGGAGCAGTCCTGGGACAAGCAATCAATGGCAAATGTTTCTCCAGTTTTGAAAAAGGACTTTGCGAGGCGCCCAGGCATCTCACCCTTGCAGCCCGGAGAGGACAGATTCTTGTCCTTGTCAACCAGGAACGTGAGGCTCTCTGGCTTACTTTTCTTTATATGAAATATATCTCTGAGCCCTTTCTTCGACCTCTTGAGGGATATCCTCTTCCTGGGAATAGTTTTTGCAACAGCCGGTACAAAAGGCATCTGTGGCACAAAGTTCCTGTAATCAATCATCTGGCTGCTGCAGGCAGGCGGGCTGGGGCTGGCCACACACTCTTTCTTACTGGTGGAACTGGACACCCCTGAAAAGCTGGCGCTATTGACAAGTCTCCCCTTGCCCTTTGCAGCAAACCCTTCCTCACAAGCCCTGCTGCTCGGGCTGCACCGCTCGCTTTTATCAGCCTCACTCACACAGTCGTGGGTTTTACTCTTCCTCACGAGTTTGTAGTAGGTTCCAGAAGGCTTTTCCAGGCTGTTCTCACCAGCTCCACTCCTTGCTGTTCTGCTGGAAAATCTGTAGTTCTTGTGCGTGGCCAAACACGCCAGCTGGACTTGGGCTACGCTTTGATTTCCCTCCAGAGCAGCCCTTTTGTCCTTGCCCACATCATCTCTGTTTGTAGGAGTGGTGTGTGCTGGTGGCACTTTCTCGTGTTGCACACTGGATTTTATGAAGGTCCTTCCTCTCTTGAGTTCCATGCTGCTGCTTCCTCACATCTGCTTCTGTAAAGAAAGCAGCAGAACACAGCTACTGTTAGAGGAGGGCTGGCAGTGAGCAGTCAGCTGATGTTCTCCAAAGAACAGGAGAAGGAGCCCATCTGCTCCAACCTGCAGCCCCAGCAGCACTTGTAAACCACAAGAGACTGCAGCTGGGAGCACCACTGGGACACAGTGTGGCTTGCTCTGTTTGTCACCGTGATTTCCATCACTGAGTCATAGCACTGCATGAGAAGCAGATTAGTGAGACAGGAGGTATGTGTATGAAGGTGACTGACCCAGGGAGGACTCGGCACTCACTGTGCATTGGTAACTGAGGCTCTGAGAACATTCTGTTGGTAAGAATGGATTGGTGTTTGGGTTTAGTATGAGGACTGTGAGCACAGTGAATCTATTTCTATAGCTATTTCTAAATATACTCTGATACCTGTATCAGTTTCAACTTTCGTCTATGCCTATGTGGTTTAGGATTGAACCGGTTCATGTTTTCATCTATATAATTACTTATTACGTTGGCTGTGATCCTTTCAGTTTTCCAGCAGTTATTTCGTACACACATCTGACTCTTCCCTGCCTTATGTCAACTTGAATTGTAAGTCAACAGAACTGTATGAACGTAGGAAGGGAAGAAGGAGGCACTTCCTGAAAGGTGCCAGAGAAACCATTCTTTTAGCTGATAGAAAGCAGAACAAAAACTCTTACGTCCTGCTCTTGACAGAGCATGCTTTCCTTAATGAAATCTCATTAAATATTTGTCTTGTTTTGAGTTGTTTATACATAACTAAACCCACTTACAGCCATGGAACTGTGGAAAACATACGAACAACGCAGTGCTGTATCTAGCACTCCTTGACAAACCACATCTATCAGCCCTGATGAAATGAAAATTACTAATCCTAATGCTCCCTAGAGAGAGATGTCAGATCAGATCCCTGGATCCAGACCAGTAGCCAGTACAAACTCAGCAAGGGTGACTTGAAATTCAGCACCAGGATAAGCCTTTGCATCTGCCTGGAGTCACAGTCAGAGCAGTGCTTCCTTGCACCACAACAGCTGTCCGTAGCCCACTGAGCCAACCAGTTGCCAGGGCTGGAGCAGCAGTACTTGGCAGCATCTCATAAGGCACAGGTCAGCTGCCCCAGCAGGTAGATCAGGACAGCTCATTGCCCAAAGAAGCTGCAAAGTGGCGGGTGGATGGCAGAATTCACAAGTAAATGTAGGTCAGAGACAAAAGGTGGAAAACACAAGGGGACAGCATGAGCATTCTGCATCGGGAGGATGGATGCAGTGGAAAACATGGCGGGTGGTGATAGGTGAGGTCTGGCGGTGTGACTGTGATGGTGGCATGTTTATTTGCATTGGGGGCTGCATGTGAGTAGTGCAGAGCATTCTTAATGAAAACCAGTAAACATTTTACTACACTGTCACATAGCTGCATTTCACTGATGCTGCAGAAAGCCTGTTTTGCATATTTAGAAATAGGTCACTGGGACACAACTGCACTCCTCTTCTGAAAAGCAAAGTGTGATTGAGAAGAAATTCGGTGCTCAGGACTCCAACAGAGTTGTGAAACCAACCATAAGCAGCCGACACCAGGCTGGGTACTGATGTCCCACAAATGTCGTGTCTGACATCCCAGTCCCTGACAGCAGATGTAGGTGCTGTGTCCCAGCAGGCTGCCCTGCTGCTGGGAAGCTCCACAGGGCTCTGTGCCCTCTGTGATTTTAGCAGGAGAGCAATGCTGTGCTTAGTGCTGGGCTGCTTCTACCTGCTCTGAGTGTTAAACAAGGGTTATTTTGGTAGGAAATGGCATATTTCAGAAGGAATACGTTTCTGCTGCTGCATCATTATCCTGTTTGAACAATGGCACAACTTTGGGAATCTTCCCTGTTAAAACCATTATTAACCGTGAGCGCCAGGACAGAGTGCCAAATACCTGAGCCTGCTGAATTGTTTTTAATTGTTCTTTTTTTTTTTTTTTTTTTTTTTTTCGGATCTTGACCCCCCTTTTTATCCTCATGATATAAATTATCAGTGTATTTATTTCTTTTAAAATATAGAACAAGAGTAATTATGCAGTGCTGCTCTCTTTCTACACTTTCCGATGCTCTCAGCCCTTCTGGTTGCAATGGCCCATACTAGGATATCAAGTTTTTGCGCCCGCAGGGACACAAGGCGTATCTCTAACCCCAGAAGCTGTACCAGAGCAGTTAGAAGAGATGTAAGGGGAAGTTCCCCTCCAGCAGTTATGTAAAACTGATCAAAATCACACAAAAAACTACTCTGGACATTTTAAAATTGTGCATCTGTGGGATTTCTTGACCCGTGCACACAGCTGCAGGTCTGTAGCTGTTCCTTTGAGCTTCTCTTCTCTTGGACATAACTTGCATTACCTTTCTTCTTCACGTGGGTCAAGAGAAAGCAAAGGACTGATTTCCACCTTATGAAAGGAAAAACATTTTGCAATTAAAAATCACTACAAAGAACAGAAACCTGCAGAAACCAGCAGACCAAGGTTAGTTTGTCACGTTTCCAGCAAACTCTGGATTCTTTCTTCATTTGTGTCACTTCACTGCTGTTTTGCATTGCTTGTGGAGCACTCATTTGGACAGAACACATCCCTGAGTCTCCTACAGTTGTGCTGGGCTTCTCAGCTGCAGCTAACAGTGCTTTTCTCTCTCTTGGTCACACCAGCTGCTTGCTGCTGGGGTTTCACAAGCTTCTAAGTAGACAACCAGGTCTGTAGGCTGAGTTTGTATGGGAAGAAGGGTGGGGATATGGGTAACATATATATGGGTAACATTTCTCAAAAATGGAGTTGCTTTGTGTTCAAGCTTATGCCATCTGTGCAGGGTGTCTGACAGCCTTCTCGTAAACACAGGAGGGTTTCTGCTGTGTCTGTGATTCATCTGCAAGTGAATTAATGTTTTGGAATGGGAAGGTGAGCACGTGTGTGGGCTGGGGAGACTTGGTTTTAGTCAGCCAAAGAAATTCCTTACAGTCCCGTGTTATGAGGACTGGACGGAATTAGGAAAGCGTTCTGCTTAATGCAACTCATCTTCAGATGGCCTAAATCCCACCTCAGCACGGCTCAATAGCCAGGAGGAGTGGAGAGGAGCGTGCAGCCCTGGGCTGGATGTTCAGCAGGAGGGAGATGGGTGCAGGAGGCACTCAGGCTGTCCGAACCTCCAATGTGTGGGTCAGAGAAGGGGCAGGCCACTTTTGCCTCCGTACATTCATGGATCTCAAGGTGAGATATGGGAATTTTCTGGGGTCATCTCTCTGTGGAGGAGTGGAGAAAGATTTGTTTTGACTTCCGGGCTGATGATGATAATATTATTATCTTACATACTACTAGCTTGTCTCTCGTGGCAAAGGTTAGGTTCCACATCATTTACTCCTAAGAAAAATTAAAATAGATTGCTTTTTAATGTCTCAGTACCTAAAATACCAGTCCTTCTGGATGAAACTTCAGGAAAATCAGCGTGCTGGAAAAGAAGGGGTATTTGCTTCAACAAGTGCACAGATGGGAATAATAGGATTAAGAAGAGAGAGTTTTCATGAACTCTCTAGCTTCAGCAAATTTGGTTTAATTAATAAGAAAAATTACTTTTCCTAAGCGGGGAAAAGTATAATTAATGTTCATCTATTCCAAAATCTTATCAGCTGTCTGGCTGGGACACTGTCTCTTGCTCGTTTGATGTGTGATTTATAACTGATTGTCTTTCCAGAAGACTAGAAGTTAGCAGAATTCAGAACACAGGCGCTGTGTTTCAGGGCAGCCAGGAGTGCCCTTTCCCCTTTTTCACATTTAGTCTATTTATAAAACTGGCATGCTGTGGAGCTGGGGCTGCGCTGCCTTGCTAAGCAGAGTTCTGCAGGACACCTGGGCTCTACTTTCACCTCCATCCAAGCATTTCCCTTTTATTTAACAGAAGGCTGTGTAAACCTGGCACAGTTCTCAAGTTTATTACATTTAAAAAGAAGGGGGAAACCGTATTTGCACTGCTTTTGTGCTCTGGGGTACAGCTCTGGAATGAGCCCCAAATCCCTTTTCCACAAGTGGCTTCATACCAATGAGACTTCTGATTCTGAGCATCGATCGCCTTTGAGAATGTTACCCCTGCATTCCAAAAGGAAATGGTAGCATCACTACATTTCTTGACAGCACGTACCTGGCTAGGGCACCTGAGCACGTGTAACGCTTTAAATGGACACACTTCAACACAAAGCATGTTTTAGAGCATCTCTGATAAATGGTACAACAGGAGAGGGAAAGCGCTGAGCACTGAGCCATCTGGATCCCACCTCCAATGGTGAGTTACCCTTGGGTGGGTTTTGCTGTGCGCTGGCTGAAAGCCCTGAAGTGCATCAGCAGACAAGAGCGAGGAGCTGACAGCCTCCGCTACTTGCAAAGACAGTGGATGGTGCTCATCAATAATGCTTAGGATCCAATCAATTAGCAGTGCATAAAGAAGAGCTTGTGCTCCCAGCAAAGTGGAGGTTATTCTGGGAATAGGACCATTTATTTACCATCAAAACACTTCACATCCCCAGGAGATGAGTGGTAATAATAGAAACGTTTACTAAAAACCCTGAGTATTCAGGGTTGCATTCAGTGCCTGCTGATGGGTGGTGAGATCCTGTTCACACCACTGTAACACTATTTCTAGTAACCAAATAAGCACGATAGTTCCTATGAGGAAAAACCAAAGAGGATTTAAAGCTCCGCTTCTCACTTCCTCTGTACTCATCTCTATCAGAAAACAGAAAAGAGCAGGGGGGAAAGGATGGAGGGCGTAGCCAGGGGCAGTCGTGGCTCACAGTGAAGGAGAATGCTTCTCTCCAAAGGAAGCCGTGTGGCACACAGACCTGCACTGACACCGTGCCTCTCATTGGGAGCGCTCCTCTCAGCGCTGCTGGTGGCTGTATCTCATCAGTGCCCCCAACCACCCATCCCTCTGGGTAACCCGGGATGCCCAATTATTCACACAGACATTTAGCTCAGGCAATGGCTTTCTCTTTAAAAAACACCTTGGTTTTTTTTTTTGTTTTTTTTTTCTTATATCTTAATTCCACCAAGCAGACAAAATAAAACCTCATGCTCCCCAGCAGAATACTAGAAGGATGCGTGGTTAAATGCTTAATCTTCTTAGCTATGTGCTATAGGGAAGCCTGAGCCTTCCTTTAAGCCCTTCCAACTGCTCTGTGCAGCTCTGGCTTTTCCATAGTAAAATTAAGCATGTTCCTACTCACAGCATCCCCACAGGAGGGGTCCCAGGGGCAGAGGTAGAGCCCAGGGCAACCCAACCTGGTGTGAGCAGGGACAAACCGTGACAAAAGGAGGCTCTTCTCCAACAAACCCTCCGCTCCCTTCACCCAGTTTTCTTCTGAGCCTGAAAGAAGCATAACTGCTTGAAATGTTCTTCTTGCACCGCATGAAAGGCAGCATCAACTCCTGCACAGGGAGCTGCCAAAGCAGCAGGCTGCTGCTAGCAGGAAGGCAGCTGAGCAGAATCCCCTGCTGCGTACCTGAAAGAGAAGCAGGGCATCTTTGCTCGCCCTGGCCAGCAGCCTGTTGTGCATTAACCCTGACAGCTTTGGCTGTTTTCAGTAGTTTATTGCTTTAAGAGGAGATTGGATGTGCGTTTATGTAAACGCAGGCATGCACTCGTCCTATGGATGGAAAAATAAGTCAAAAACAATGCTTTGAAAAGAAGCAGTCACCCCAAAATAACAGTCCCCTGCAGTCTCTGTGAGTGTGAGAGCACAGGGCTTGACATTGCACCAGAGCAAACAAGAAGGCAGATGACAAAAATCCTACTCACCTCGCTTAGCACTGAGCAGAAATCCTCTCTCCTAGCCCTGCTATGAGGCTGGTCTTTATCCAGAGGCTCCGGTGATGCTTTTCAGATTCAGAGGGGCTGGACCACTGCTGCTCTCCAGTGCTACTCTCCACCCCCTGTCTTTTACTCCTCCTTCTTTCATCCCCACCCCCTCATTCCTCCTGCTTGCAGCTTTCCATACCTTACATAGATTCTGGGCTTCCACATGTAGCTTGATTTAGGAAAGATGCATATTTCAGCCATCTGCTTGGTATCACGGCAGTGCCTTCTTTGCTAAGGAATAAGAGCCCAGGAGGTAAGCCTGGGAGTCCTGAGCCAGCATTTCACTTCCCCTGTACACCACAGCTTATTACACAGGGAGGAACACATCCACATCAACATCATTTCTCACGTGGATTTTTGTTTCTGACTGGGATTCAGGAAAAGCAGTCACAGTGTGTTCCCAGGTGAGAGAGATGATGATGATGATGGTGCTTCGTGAGGCTTCTGTTTGTGCCAAACTCAGAGAGGATTACGTGAGCGAAGTGGTGAAGGGGTGCGTGTGAATAGCTCAGCTGCCCAAAGCCGGAGCCTCACACTGCTGCCACCATGTGATCTCTGATATCCCCTTAGAGCCAGCCTAACTTCTGTTTTGGTGTGCAGCGATGTCAACATCTGATGTTACATCATCCTTCAGTATGGAGATGAATTCATTATCGTCACAAACACCAAAGGTTTAATTGCACACTGGTGTAACACTGACTTCCTTGCCCCAGCCCTCTCCCCATGAAGACCTTCCAATCTGATCAGATGTCCATTGACCCTTCCAGATCCCCTGCCTTCCCCTTCCTGCTTTTTAAAATAACATTTCTAGGCCTCCTAAATCCAAAGCATGTGTTGTGAAGCAGTGGCTTAATCCACTGCAGCAGTTCACCATGCACTGCAGTTTCTGAGTACTGAGCCATACAGAGCCAGCATCACTGCTCTGGCACTACGAGCAGGCTGCTCTCAGGCAATGGAGTGAAGCAGAGTACATTCAGACAGATCAATTCTGTGCAAGTATGTCCTCCAGCTCTCTAAGAGTCAGGTGAGTGTTCCCTGAGAAAATGGTGCATCAGACAGTGAGTGCTGATATCTTCTGTCTCCCACATGGCAGCAGAAAGGGAACAAAAGCCAAAAGCTTCTCCTTGTTCTCATCTCCCATTTTCAGTGTGCTTTAGCTGAATCTTGGAGATGAAGCAGGGAAGGAACTTAAACTTTTGCGCTGTGTAAGCTTCCAGAACTAAAATGTCACCCCGTTAGCACTGCAGGAGGCAGAGATGAGTGCTCGTGCTCAGAATGGCAGCCAGAAAGCCTCGCTGTCCTTGGTGGCAGAGGCTGGGAAGTTGCATCTTGAAAAACATCCCCAGTCCAGTGCAACAGGCAGAATGTGCAACAGGCAGAATGTGCAACAGGCAGAAAGCCCTTCCGTTACCTACTGAAAGGCTGGAGGAGGAGGGAACAAGTAGCAGGTGAATCCTCGTAGTTCTGGCAAGCAGATGAAGGGCAATCATGTGGGAAAATGTGTTAAATAGAAGTTGATTTGATGGCTTTTATTCTGCCTGAAATATTTGTTCCAATATAAGAAGAAGCCTTTCTTCTTAAGTGATATATGCAGCCACAGATTTCAGATGGTAAATCTTTGCTCTGCAGTGCTGCAGCCTTTGAGAGCCTCCAGTTGGTGCACTCTGTTTTGGAAACAGGGGACTTCACAACTTCAAAGTCCTTCTTTATCCAAAGTGATGCCAAAGTCTGCTGGAAATGCTGGCAGACATGAGATTCAACCAGAGGAATCCTGTGCAATTCAGAGCTGAGGGCTGGTGTTGATATTGTCCAAGAAAACCTGCAAAAAAACACAGTTTCAGAATTTGGACCTGAAAATCATGCATGCACATTATTTCTGTGTTGAGTTTCTGAACTCTGAAGAATACATAAGAAAAGGTGTACCCAAATTTGCCACATAGAGAGAGAAACAGACAACTGCAAGTACATAAAATTTGCAGATGAAGCCTACTTTATGTTCAACTCAAGTTCAATAGGACTATCCTTAATGATCCAGACAAGTGCATCTGGCCAGGAAGGAGCTCCTAGCTCCTGTAGCATTTCGGGTGGTTCCTGTAGAAGCTCTCTCTCTAGGACAGAGTGTCACTGCTCCTCAGGGATGGGGGTAGCTCTCACACAGGTCTTCCTGTCTCACAGACAGCACCCAGTGCTGTTTGCTGGAGCCATTAGAGGCGATTGTACTAGTCCTGATCAGATACCCAAATCTGTTTATAGTCATTCAGATAAAGCAGCTTCTGTGATGAGAGAACTCCAAGTATTTGATTGGGTGTTTGTTTATTTTAGAACATCCATTTGGAAAAACATTTCCATTTTCAGGGCATTTTATTCCTTCCTACAAAGGAAGTGGCCTACATCCATCGCTAAGGCAGTACGTAGTTGTAGCTGTCCATGGCCATAGCCGTCCATAGCCTTAGTTTTCTTGGGTGTGAATCACAGTCCCATTCCATGCACCAGTAAATACACAGTACATTGAGTAGCAGCTCACCCACAGTACCTTTATGCATTGCAGGGGAACTTTTTTCCTATCCAAATAGTTCTCAACTTACAGTTCCCTGAACTTCCCCCTGGGCTTCTCTGCCATTCCTTCATTTCAGGCTATTTCCCCACAGCTATCAATCAGGTTCAAAAGGTTACCTCCTGCAATACCTCATCATCCTCCCTGATTAATTAAGTCTGTCCAGAATTGTTTCAAACACCGCTGGGGATGAAAGAGATGGGAAATCAGAAAACTGCAAATGAGTGCAAATGAGGGGCATGTGGAACAGCTGCCATCTGTTCAGCAGAAACACACTGCCCTTGGCTTGGGGAAGGCAGAAGAGGACCCTCGAGAGGAGAGGAAGAAGAGTTGATGGTGTGGCATGAGGGCAGCGAGGATCCTTGGTACAGCGAGGAGGACTGGGGGAAGGAGGAGGGCAAACCATGTGGGGGCTGGTATGGAAACACAGAGAGGGATGAGCAAGCCCAGCCTGCCAGGGATGGGAAGGCTGCATCTCCCCAGTGTGGGCAGCAAATGTTGGCATCAGGTGAATGAAGGCGACTTTTAGCAGGAGAAACTCACAGAAAGCAAACTGTGCTGTTTTATCTTCTTCTCTCCTGAAAAAATGAAACCGGCTCTTTGAGCCCACAGAGATCGGAAAAACTGTTTGCTGAGACAGCAGTATTTGTTTCTGGGAATGACTCACAGAATGAATTTGACCCAGGCTTTTTCCTGCCAGTGAACGAACCAGTGAAGAGTCTAACATCTTTGATCCAGTTGAGTTTTCTGCTAGTATCAGCTCAAATTTAATAATTGATGGATCCATGGATCGGATGGAAATACCGATGTATCGGTATTTCTTGGTCTTGCAGGCTGCAGAGGATGGGTAATGGGATACGGAGGATTTTCTCTCCAGACGTCTGGCAGATGACGCCGCCAGGTTGAAGTGAACAATCTTTGCTACTTATCTGACTGTTTTCCAGGGCTTGCATTAAGTTAATTGCTACTCTGTTCTCATCTACTTGGGGAGCAGCAAAATTTAGGATTGTTATTAATAACGGCGCTTTCCACAGAAATAGAAGGGAATGACACCTTGAGAACCCAAGTGCAGAAATGTTAAAATACAAATATCCGAGTCACATATTCAAAAGTATCTCCATTCCAGGTATTCTAGAATATAAGAACGGGGGGAAATTCATTACTGTGAGGGCGTGAGGCCCTGGCACTGCTGTGCAGAGAGCTGTGGGTCCCCATCCCTGCGGTGCTCAGGGCCAGGCTGGGGGTCCCTGGACATCCTGAGCTGGGGGTGTCCCTGGTGGGCTTTAAGACCCCTTCCAACCCAAAGCAGCTCATTGAACTGCTACTGCCATTAAAAGATTTTCACTGTCTCAAATGCGAAATAATCATTCAGCAACATTTTCTCTGAATCTACTGCAGGAGATGTTTGTGTGATGACTTGAGGGGATGCTATAGGAAATCTTTAATGACTGTTTTGTGTGACTTCATTTCCCTGCTTAATTTTGTATTGTTCTTTGTCAGAGCTCATAATTAATCCCTCTGAAGGCTTTGTTAAAGGCTCAGCCAGGAAACCAAAAATGGAAATATAGGTGAAGAGGCCATAGATAACACAGCTTCAAATAACAGGCTGGCCACCAGTGAGGGAGCAGCTATTTCAGTGGCTCTGATGTAATAGTCTTTCAGGTGCTGAAGTGGGGATCCATGAAGGGCTAAAATCAAAAAGGCCTCCTGAGTACAAGATAAATAAATGAGATGCTGGATAATGTTACCAGGGCAAAGTGCAAAAGCACAGCAGGCTGAGATCCACATACACAGGTAGGGATGCTAAACATTGAGCAGGACAGGCTGCTGCTCCTGCCTCTGCCCTGCACTGTTGGCACACTTTTATGTTGTATCTGTAAGAAAAAATAAATTGCCACCCAGACTCTGGCACGGTCACGCTGCAGACAACGGTCTTGTCACAGGATCTCACAATTGAGTCCTCATGGACAACACAGAGCATATCACAAATCCTGCCCACAAGAAAGAATCCTTTTGGCTGTGTGTACAGACAGTGGGACCTCAAGGGAAAAGAGCACAGTGTCCAGGATGCCAGATGCAACAGGTGCACCTTGACATACAGTCCCACTGCCTGCTAGTCTGTATTCCAAAACAGGCAAACAAAAGGGAATTTCAAAGACAAAAATGAAGGCTCTGCAATCACCATTGGTGCCCTTGGTAACAGTGCCATTGCAAATGCTCATGGCTGACGTCCCCGATCAAACATTTTGGAAACAAATCTGCATGTTGGATCTGTTCTGCTGGTGGCAAGTAGCATGCCAAAACCAAGTGTCATTTTAAAGTGGCAAAATGCATGTCTTAGAATAATGCACTGGCTCTTAACAGCAGCTTGCTAGCAGACCTAGAGGTGCTGTTTGACGGTGTGTGTGTGTGTTTTGCTTTCTCACCTCCTGTGTGCCCAGTGGCAGTGGCTAACGCCAGCAACTTGCTGCCT